GGTGTGTAATCATGTCAGCTGAACCTTGAGGAAACAGTTCAGTGTGTGAGCAAATCAAGAATCAATGTTATGATATGGCCCATTAAGTTATGAAATGAGGTTCTTCACAAATTGTTTTGCTTTTAGTAGATTTTGCCAAACAGGTTGTTGTGTAATAGGTTCGAAGGACAAACATCTTTGTCAGTAAAGTCAGTATCAAACTCTTAGATTGGTATCTGGAAATGTGTTGCTGGTGTGATTCTGTAAGAGGCCGATTGGTTAGTTTTCTACTTTGAAAGACATTGTTTTTTGTTGTTTTTTTTGTTTTTCAATGCATTTGAAAAAGGTCCCTGTGGCAACACAGGGACCTTGCAGTTCAGAAATGCAAAAGTGAGCATCGCAGAATAACTGATGACAAATGTAACCTCAACCACTAGTGTCATGTATTCAAACACATGCTGTACATTAAGTCAAATGCAAAGCCTACTGCACAGCATTCAACTGGCCACATTGACTACAATACTAATTTTATTAGCTATGACAAAGTCAATGAGCTGTGACCATCATGATTATCAACACAATACTGAATGCAAGCCCCCCATCATGACCAGGGTCATTTGAGAATCAGTTCAGCAATCATATATGTAGTGTGATATTTAAAAACCCCATCCACTGCAGCAGGGTGTTAGCACCACTTATCTAATTAAACACTGAACAACATCCAAGACCAATGAATTCCAGATTAGCTGGAGGAAAAAAAATAACAGACAGACAAATATGCACTGAATTAGAATAAGTTCCAAGAAGCCTTAAAGCCTTTTGTGTTTTGAAAGATTTGCTAACATTTATGATTGCTGGTAATCATAAATGTTTAGCCCCTCAAAAACATTTCTAATATTTTTTGAGGCAGTAAGAATTTCAATTCATAATGTTGAATGTAAATGAATATGTCATAACCCGGAGTGTGCCATCTACCATTTAACATCGTAATTTCAAGCAGCAGCTTAAAGGGCAGCTCTTGCTGCTTTGATAAATTTGTCAATTTATATGTTTGCATATTTAAGAGTAGAGTGCGACTTCAGCATTTAGTATGCATAATAATGTAAGGTACATGAAAATCACTGTATCTGCTCCCTGATGAAAATATCTACGCCAAAGATTCAAAACCCTGCAGCTCTATTTGAATTTATTAAATGAAGTAGCAAATGCATTATTTATGTATTACTGAATGGGAAGGAAACATTTGGTAATTTAAATGACAACGTTAGACCTATGAAGGACTGACTACCAGAAGCTAGTGTAACTATATGATTTGAGAAAGCACTGCATCTACCTTCCTTTAGCTTCAACAGGAAGAGGAGGAGTCTCAGGAATGAAACTCTGTGTTGCCACAGGGACCTTTATAACACAGCACTTGGATGACACTCACCCTCTTTCTGAGCTAATGTCACATTGGAAAGGGCAAAGCATGCCAAACATGAATCCTTATTTTGTTGGCAGAGGAGGGCCACTCCTCGTCCAGAAGCTTTGGATCTAAGACAATAAATAGATTACAGTTTTGTGCATCCAATACTTTTACTTTTTGACCAAAGGAATAAACCTAGATCCTGGTTTTATTCAGAACTCTGCAGACAGAACCTTGTAGCTACAGGTCTCCCAAGATTGCATTCAGTAACCAACGTTGCACATTACGTCAATAACATTAATTGCTTGTCTTTCAAGGGAGATCACAGTAGGTTGAGTTCTGGGCAGAGATAAAGTTGATCAGTTTAAGTGTTTTTATTCTGTATTTTCATTTTCTTTTTTCACTAAAATCTTAGAAGTATTCCAAATAAAACTGGCCTGGGAGCATGTCCCAGATAAAGATGAGAGTTCAAACTTCATTCCAGTGTGCGTTTATTCACGTTAGTGCATTGAGGTGAGCTTGCCTATCTATGGATATTGTTATTTTCTTTACTGCCTCCAAGTTACATGAAATAGGCCTAACAACTATTAAGCTAACAGCAGCTAAGCTAAATATCTAAAGACCAGAATATTTAAAAAACAGCTTTTTTCTGCTTGTGTTGTCAGTCATAGTGAACCGCTGGCATTCAAACAATAATTCTACAATTTACAGAGGTTTTGACTTAAAAGAAATAATTTAATCAACAAAAAATAAGATCTTTTCAGTCTGGTTTTAGAGTGGCAACACACATTTGGTCTGCATTTTTGTTATTCCAAATTATTGCATTATCAATGGTAAGATTAAATTCTCTAAAAAGTTGTTAATTACTAAATCAGTCAAACATTTCTATGTTAAAAGACATTACTTCTTCAAAATAATGTCTTGTCCTTCTAGTAGAAGACTTTTCTAAGATGCTGCAAAGACAGCACAATTCATGGCTCATTTTTAATGGTGAATTTGGCAAAGGATACTTTACAAACAATACAAAATGTCTTTACAAAGAAGAATGCAGCCTTTGGTACAACTAGAATACCTTCCAGAACCTATATGGTCTCATTCTCTGGAGCTTGAAACATGACTCCACACATCTGATGGCTACTGATCGTCAATTAAAATACTCTGTCTTGAAGTCTGCAAAAAGAAAACAAAAACCTCCATAAATACACATCCATAAAGTGAACTTCAGATTATTATTAGCTCGGTTGAGGCATGGGGCTTTAAAATAATCTTAGCAGCTGTCATAATGTAGCCCCTGTGGATCCCAGGTCATTAATGCAGCAGCCTACAAATCCATAGAGGGACTATGGTAGCACCGTATTGATTAAAAACCTGCCACTGTGTATATATACTCTTACAGATATGCACACACCCTACACCTGACCCGCGTTAGCCTTTTATACATTGGGCCCAGAGTTGATGATTCAGCGCTTTTTCCTGCAGCAGAGTGGAGCTAAACACATGACAAGAAAGGAAGGAAGGAGGAGAAGAAGGAAAGTTAATAGTGGCAGGCTGCCAGCCCATCAGAAGGGAAACAGTAGGGTGGGCAGAAGGATAAAAGTTGCAGAATGGGGATCAATGGTGATGTCATGTGATGCTTAGAGCGATGGACTCTTACAGAGCTTACAGTGACTTGAATCCACCATACAAACCAACTTTCTGCAGAAACGCTTCCTGAAGTGGTTAATTTTGCTGGTGATGAGAATATGTATGCAACTTTCATACATATTGTCTTTTATGTTTAAACATGAGTGATAATCAGTGTGGGCCTACATTCTTTACAGCACACCCAGGAATCTTCTCACGTACGGGAGCAGAGTTTTCTCCTGGTATTATAGCACTTCTTTGGCTCTGATGTCTTGTCACTTATCTTAAGCACTTGGAAGACGTGCACTGCAGGGGGAGAGCGCGGAGGGAGAGATGACACAGAAGCTTCATTCTGCTGACAGCTCAACTTTAGGCGTTGGCGAGCGCAGATTAACAATGACGGAAGGTACTAACATCTATCCGAGGCAAGCGGTGATTCATTTTCACTTTTTTCGCCAGAAGATTCAAAGTCATCTCAAGTCTCATCTGACAAAAAGCCATCAGACCTTTGATGTCGATATATGATTAATCAAATCCCGCGCTGGCCTTAGCTGATGTGTTTTTTACAAGAAGACTTTTAAAAAGTGAGTGTGAAGGATCACAGTGGAAATAATAAATGTATTTTTATTTCACCTAAGACTTTTTTGACTTGAAGCTTCAGAAAGTTTGATGTAAAGAGTTTCTAGTAATGAATCCAGATGGTGTCAAAATACTTAGATGGTCAGCAGTGACTAAACTCTTGAGCATAGATGATGAAGAAATGGTGCTACCTTCAGGGTTCCTACAGATTTTTCGCAGAGAAATTTTATATTTTCCATGTGCAAGTTCTTAAATTTCCTAGTTATTTATGCCATTTTACAATAGAAGATGTGAATACTTCCTATTAAGTTATTGAAAGATAAAGTGGCAACATAGTTGCCTGCAAAAAACAAAAATTGGAAGGAAGGAAAGAAAGAAACGACAGAAAAAGGAAGGAAAGTTGGAAGAAACGACAGAAACAGAATACAACATTTACATACAGTTGATTTGAAATTGCTAATTTTTCTCTTTTTTTCCCCCACATGTAGACTTGAGAAATGCTAAATCGAAATCCTATGCTTTCCATTGCTAAATGTCTCTTTCATTATTCTGTGTGCTACATCAGTGCTTTGAGCACAACCCCATTTACTTTCCTGAAAAAAAAAACTGACTCATTTCCCTCACCTGAAATATTAATTTCTCCTCCATTTCAAACTTCCATGGATGTACATGTTTGTTTCCTTTGAGGACTAGTTTGGTGCACGGGGAGGATTTTGTTTCTTTCTGCTTGTCTTCCTTTCTCCTCTCCTTTTTTTTTCTCTCACTGTCACATTCTCTTGCTCCCTTATGAGCTTTCATTCCCTCTCACTCCTTTGTCAACCTCATCTTGCAAAGAGGGTTGAACGTCTATTTTAAGCAATGTGTCATGCAACCACCCCCACACTGCAGACTGAAGGCAAAGGAAAAGACTGGCACATCTCAGGCACGCTGGGTGTAAATATCTGTGTGTGCCAGTGCGGTGGGCCGGGAAGAGCATATTCTTTTATCCATAACTTTAAGATCATCAAGCTTAAAAGAAGCTATTCGGTGAGCGGGGTTCGGTGAGCTTGAAGTTATCGCCTTCAAGGATGCTTTTTTTAACTTTCACTGCACAGATCATGCAGTGAAAGTTCACATATAATCAGGAATCACAAGCTAGCTGCCTATGGGTGTGAGGCCGGTGTGACCACACAGATGTAGGGCATCAGTAAAACAGACCACGGGGGCGCTGGGTGGGAGACGGCCACACCACCACCTCCCACCCATTTACCATGATGGCCTGAGGCCCCACACCAACCCCAGGTAGCAAGACCAGCACTCAGCAGAAAACCTGTCGAGAATCCATTTGCTTTATGGCCTCATTTGAAACCAAACAGAAAAACAAACTTCAGTTTCAAGGGATCATTTGAAACTTCAAGAGTAACTGAAGTCTGCTGCAACTGCTGCAATATTTTCGCTGCATTTGATAAACCGGATTAAACTGAAGGACGCTGAATGGTAAGTTTTACTACATTCACATTTAAATTGGGTGTGAGCTCAGTGGTAGATTTAAATCAAAAGGCCTTCATTAGCTGGTAGAAACTTTACTATTCGCTGTGAAATGAGCCTTATACCAAAATGGGCTGAAAAACAAGAACACTGGATAAAGAAAACAATGCATTCTACAAACACCCTGGGACAAAGACTTTAATTTCTACATGCTTCCTTTGATCTGATTAAACAATAATTGAAGTGTAAAGACCACTTTTCTGTTTGAATGGAGGCAGGGGAAGCGTGCAGGTCTGATGCCATCCAAAACGTGAAGTAATTGATGGAAGCATCATGTTGTGTGTGTTTTTCTGAAGAATAGACTGGATTCAGCTTTATGGATAAAACTTTTCTCTGTAATGTACATGAATTATAGATAGGTAGTTTATTTATTTTCCAAATGTATGCACTTTCTTGTTACATATAGCTATGGGTCAGCTTTAAAACTTGCATTTTTGTGTTGTTTCCGATTCACACAGAGGTAGAAAAGGCAATATGTGTTAATTATTTTAGCTTCGTGTTTTTCTTTTTGCCATTAACACAACTGTGCAGCTTTCAAAGTATTTCAACCAGTTTTTGTTAAGACACGCTAAAAGAAAATCCCACATGCATGTGTTATTTTGGCTCTCTTATTGAAGTCCAAGTGTGTATAAGGCATACTAAAGACCTTAAAGCAAGCACATCAACCCATTTCAATGTGTGAAATTGCTGGGGGGGTTTTCCATTTCCAGTTTGGTCAGATATGTGATTTTAATCTTTTTGTTTCTCATCTTCCAAATATCTCTCCCGAGTTGGCTTCTTCTTCTTCTCCTTCTTCTTCTTTCCCCCTCCACTCCCTCGATCTCTCCCGCTCTCATAGCTGCATGAGATGACTCAAAGGACACAGCAAAGCACCAGACGCAACGCGGCACTCAGGTAATGAGAAATGATGTTGGTGTCGACGGTGGAATCGCCCAAATCATCCCTGAGCCTAGTTACATAATTCAAATATCATTCTTTTTTACTCTCCCTCCCTCCTCTTTTATCCGCTATCACTGCTTTGTCCTCTGGCGCTCTCCCTTGCTCGCTTCTCAGTTGAAACAGATTTGATTTCTATTCCTCTATGTTCGGGTGACATCGCTGCTCCTCCGAGAGGTTTGAGCAGGGATTGGAACGAGGATCAAGTCACCTGTCACAGCAAAGAAGGCCAGGCCGCAGAGAACCTGAGCATGTATGCCTGGATGTGACTGTAGACTTGCTTTTATCTTTTGTTTATGTTTTTTATTTTTGTTCGGGATGGTTTTTGTGTTTGGTGCTGCTGCATTTTTGCTTTTTGATTTATATATATTTTTTGTTTTTCTCTTTGTGTTGTCTCGGCCTCAAAGCACCTTGAAAGACATTTAGTGCCTTGCAAAAGTTTTCATCCCCCTTGAACTTTTTCACATGTTGTCTCATTGACTTTAGTATATTTCATTGGAATAAAATAATGCATAACAGCGAAGCAGAAAGAAAATGAGACATGGTTTTTAAAGTTTTTTTTTTTTTTTACAAAACGATTTTAGAAGTGTGGCAAGCATTCGTAATCACCGCCCCTCAGCAGTGAATCAACTAGCATTGCTCCAGGTATTTCAGCTTCCCACTCTGCATATTCTTTTAAGTATTTAATATGTGTGCTAGAATGAATAATAATGAATAACTTCACAGTCATATTCCACAAAAAATCAGCACATCATGATTTGCAAATACTGAATAGCGAACACTTAAAGGCCGCTGTACATTACAATTTGTGGCTTTTAAATGGAGAATGTAATAAAATGGGTACGAAAACTTTATAGCAATGAAAGGAAATCAACCTTGGCAAAAGAAAGTACATTCTATTCACACTTTTGGGAACACTTCTGCTCAAAGGGGCTGTTTACATCTGTCAGCCGGGGCACATGGAAATGAAGTTCACAAGATTGTGTTTTTTCAATCTGAATTGAAAAACTTTTCAGGCCAGGGCTGAGCTTGTTCAGGATAGATTGATGCGAGATAGAGTAAAGAACTCAGAGGAGTGAGATGAAGTTGACCCCGACTTTCTTTCTCCGTCCCTACTCCACCACTCAGCGCTGGCGCCTTCTTGGCAAGGTTACAGAAAAGGTACTGTTACACTGAATCACTTCAGCTTCTGTCTCATTTTATTTTCAACCACTGCTATTCAGTCTGATTCATTGTTTCCTTGCACTCACTGTCTGAAGAGAGGTGCTCGCACTTCATACGTCTTTGTCCACGCACAAGTTCTTGCGCGTACACCCACACACAGAGTCTCTCTCATTTTTCAAACATTTCGTCTACTCCATCTCTTTGGCTTTTTCCTTCGCTCATTCACCTCCTCTCCAGCAGCGGCTGAAATCTTTGGATGTATTGGCATGTCTCCTCTCATTCCACCCACATTTGCGAAGAGGATCGAGGAGGGTTTATGGACCTGGGAGAGAGTGTGTTGAGGCGTAAAGGACCCTCTCAGCCCTAAGCCAAGTCCTGTCCATCCAACGGAGAGCCCAGACGGTGCGATTCAGCCCCTCCTGAAGCCTGGCAAGCACTCACTCATACACATCCACGCACACACACTCAGAAAGAAAGTCACTGTCATCTTTCTTCATCTTAAGTCAACAAAGTAAGGCTACGAGAGGAAAAAAAAGAAAGAGGGACAGAGGGGCAGCTCTGTATTTCTAAATCCTCTGGGCAAGGTCACCTTCACCTGGGTAAGCATGCAGAAGTGGTCGAGGGACTAAAAATAAAAAATGTGCAGGTGAAGTTTTGCTTCTTACAAACTTCCATGCAAACAGATTCAACTCCCTCCAGGGTAAACACATCAACCGATGTACGTGTATGGGGCAGCTGGCATGTTTTAGACGCGCATGCATGATTTAGTGGGAGGGAGAATTGAGTGATGGACAGGGTTATAAGCAGGAATCCATAAATCGCTGAGGCTTTGACTTGCATTTTTGTGTGCTTGTAATATTGCATGAACCTCTAACGATATAGGTGGGAAAAAGCACTGAACATCTGAAATGTTTTTTTCTTAGTAACTTTATTTCTCAAGGGCTTGCCTACTTGAAATTCAAGTCAGACGTTATTAGCAACTTAAGTAATCTACACAAAGAAATAAAAACAAACTAGTCCACAATTTAAACAACATGGAAGTCATAGGTATTGAAAATGGTGTTCAACACATAGTTGAAAAGCTTTGAGTCATCTCTGGTCTGGACAAGCTAGCAACGTTCAGGTCTCATTTTTCACCATTTTTTCCCATAAACTGTCTTCAAATCTTGGAGTTTCTTCAGCCTCTGACATATTTCACTCCACAAAGATCCACTCTTACTTGAGACGGACTCAGATCGGACGTCCGCCAAACACATACATTTTTACAAATGTATGCTAGGTGTTGTACTTTCAACACCTCGGTGGGAAACAATGGTCACGTGGAACTGTTTTGTATACGACTGCTAGGTGTTGAGGTCGAGAGTCACAACCGGTTACAGGGATGTGCTACGGGACGCATGCTAGACGTTACCTTTTTCAGTTTTTAGCAACCTGCACCAGCAATTCACTCTGTTGTTTATACCTGTAATGTACAGTGCAGTCAGTTGTAGTAGGTAATCTTAAAAACCCACAATGGATTATCAGTATTCTAGTGAAAGTGCAACAGAGTCTCTTTGATTTATGATAAAATGGTATATTTTCTGGTACTCATCGATTGCTTGGTTGATCCTGGCACACTCTGGGAATTTCATATCAAAAGCCCAATTAGCCCTACATTTACTACTGAGAAAAACACTGAAATGCTCAGTACTTATTATTCTCTCTGTAATTCTAGGGCTGTGGAACAAAACTGAGTGTTTTTCAAGTGATCTTCTTTAAATAGTTTTAAACTTTTAATATGAAAACAACTCTAACATTTGAACTACAAGACTCAAAAAGAAAATTAAATCTTTAAAGCTTATCAATAACATCAGAGGGAATCAAGATGAATAACAAGGGATTGCAATCTCCCACAGCAAATTCGCCTAGTTCAAACGGGAATCTTTTCATCAAGCGCATCCATCACTGCACTGAATTTATTATTTAGGCATGACATGTGATAACACATGCAGGCTTGTATTTCTTATTACATCTGAATCTAGCAGTGTCGGGCCCGTTACATCCTTCAGCGCTGGCCTCATTGTGTCCAGGTGATTAGCGTCATAACACTGCTGCTGCTGTGGGCTCCTTGAGTGACCCGAAGACCTTCTCTGCTTGGCATTGTATGCTCCCTCCCTTCCCCCCATTCCTTCAAAACTCTTCCCCTGAGGTGCCTAAAGGGAGGACACAAAGAAAGGATGACCTGCTACAAAGTTCACACTAGTGCGTCCATATCAAAGCCCGGAGGCAGTCGAAGCAGGCTCAGTTCACCCACACTGGTAACCTTTGACTTTATGGTTTTGTTGTTATAATGTATCCAGAAACAAGTACCAGTAGGTCTTGAATTCATACGGATAGCGAAAAATATGTTTTCAGGTAAGTGTAGCATTTTCAACAGAAACGGCAATAAATTTTTTTTAAAAAAAGTATCGAAAGTGGCCAAAAGTACAGGACAAAAGAAGAGCGGGAAAAGCGAAGGAGAAAATAGAGAGGAAGAGAGGGAGAGTGTGACAACCGCCATAACGTCCTCAGAGATGCATTTGGACAGAGTGAGCATCTGTCAAAACAAGGCAGCCTCAGCGGCCGCCTCACTAATGGCTGTGGACATGAGCGACAGAGAGGGGAGGAAGGATGGGAGAGAGAGGCAGAAGACTGTGTTACATACACACATGCTCACACACACACAACAAATGCAACTTTTATTTTTCTGTTCATTGCTTGAAGCAGATTCCACCAATCATTTGATACCAAATATCTTCAAAGCTACACTGTAATAGCTATTGAACTACTTTCATGTTTGTGCGTGTGCATGTGTGCGCGTTTTTATAAAAGTGTCTGCGTACAAGCATAACGTTGGGATGTTTACCTTCCAACTGTGTTTTTGGTCACAGATTCTTTCCACCATCACTCATAGTGATGAATAGGACAGCGTGTCAATCTGTTATCTGAATTGTTTTTTCTTTTCTTTTTTTTTTCTTGTTTTTTCAAGGCGATCCCGAGTAGTTATGTTATTTTTCTCACAAATTCTCCCTGAAAAATAACCATGAGCAATCATTCTAGGCTGTAAATTATCGCATTTGAAGGAAATGCCTCCTGGCACTTTTAACAAATACACCGCCTTCAATGGCTTCGTCTTGAATCTGAAACCTTCCAACATTTACTTTTTGACAATTAAAAATGTTGATTAACTACATTGTAGTTTAAAGTGATTATATTTATCTTTTTTCTGCCATGTTCAGGGTATAAATATGATTAAAAAACAGAAAAAACAATAAAGAAATCTGCCAATCTTATCCAGATCTGCCTAAGGCAGCTACAATTGTGAGATAGGAGAAACTTGTTGAAAAACACAAAGCACTTTTGTATTGTATTTACAGTGTCTGTAATAGATGCTGCAGACAAGATTAGGGACAATCACTGCACATCATAGACACTCAAGTACAACCAACTAAATTAACAAGGAGAAGGGTTGCCTTTAGTCTCATCTGTGATGTTCAGAATATATCATCAAATGTACATACACAGTGTGTTTAGCTTTAGAGCGAAGTGATCAGATATAAATATCCAGGTAGAGCAGTTAAAAGGACCAAAACATTTTATGTACTGTAGGTTAATATTTTATCACAGTTTTGGATATAGATGGACAAGATGGCTCCCCACCCAGGTAAACAAGGCATATGAGTGGTACCACTAGCACTCAAAATAAAAAAGTGCTATCAGCCAGTTATATTATGTGCTCATTTTAGATTATTTGTTTGTATGCACAGTCAGTTATTTGAAAGGTCGAACGCTTCAAAATGATGTCAGTACACAACAACTGGTGAAAGATGCTGAAGCTCAAGTCTGATTTGCAGATTTCAAGCTTTTTGTTTGTATTAAGACCTTAGACTGAGATAACTATGAACACCACAAATATAGTTGAGTGAAATTCTTTTAGCAAAGTACAACTTAGTTATCATTTATTTAGGTTAATCTTCATGTTGAAAAAGTTATGTTTGGTTATGTGTTGGGAATGACAGGGCTGGCCCAGGACAGGAAAATAATTTAGCAGATTATCAGTATATCAGGAAACTTAAATAACTCATTCCCATTAGTTTATCATAAGAGTTTTGGTGCAAATGGCAAATTATAGACGTGACTCCCGAATACCTTTTCTTAATAAAAATGGCATGCACTGAGCACTGAGCTTGAAGGTGGTTCTATAAAGAACATTGTGCCACACAGTAGTTTTCTTAATAAAATTAAAATAGCTTGTAGGTA